CGCTGTTGTCCCGCCATGAAACGCTCAACAACCAGGCTGTGATCCTCAGCCAGACTCTGGGGGGATTCAGGTTGTGTCGGGTGCTTAGAAGAACACAGAAAACGATTACTGGCTGCTGCAGGTGTTTATTAAAGTCAGAGGAAAGGATCTGGCGCTCAGACAGCTGTAGGTCTGGTACTGGTTCTGCACAATCCTGAATCATATGCATTCGGTCGAACCTGAAAATCAAACTCAGATATTCGTCTAACATGTTTCACATCTGCCCGAGCTGCGTTTTGACAGACGTGTCAATATGTTCTGTAACAGACACCAGTGTCGCGCTTACCTGGACGCAGCAGGGATTGATCTGCTGCTGGGTCGCCGGGGTGTGATGCTGAAAAACCAGAAACGCCTCCAATGATGCGTTCAGGTGCATCAACAGCACATGCTGTAGATTTAAAAAGACATAAGAGAACAAAATACAGTTTAAACTCTGATTCTGCAACAAACTGAAAGCCTAAAAACTGCAAGAAGTGACTTTACTCAATGCCAAACCCTGCGTTTGCAGCTATAAGCATCTTGTAATGTGCACATTCCCGCCTTACTTCTGACGCTTCTGAGGACCAGAAGGATGCTCGGCTTGAAATATTCGGAGTGAGGAATCAAAACTTGCTGTTCAGGACCGTATTTACTGCTGCTTCATGGGCAAGTGCATAAAGGGGGAAAGGTGTCACACACTTCTGTCTTCATAAATGGACATATACTGAGAATTTAAAAAGAAATTCGAAGACATATTTTTTGCCATATTTCTGGTGTTTTTCGAGTTTTGCATGCAACAAAATGCCATTATGCCCTCGCTGTATTGAAATAAAACGAGCTGGAAAATGTTAAAACTAATGATGTGCAGCTGTGCAACAATATCAGCGACGTTGGAACTAGTTTCAGACTCTTAATACACCTAATAAAACAGCAATTTTGATTTAATATCTGTCTTTATTTATTTATCGCAGGCGAGGAAATGTGGAAGAGTTTGGTTACTACATTTGTAAAGAATTTGTTTTATACCAGGCCAATAACATAATGACTTGTTAGGACTTTTATTACATTATTGGCCTATTAAATTTTTAAAAAGTGCAAATTTATTACATGATTGGCTTCTACAACAGATAACAATACATCCTACATTTTTGTGCAGATGAGACACCAGTGAACATCCCAGAGTCATCTCATATTCGCCTCAATGCGACACATGATGCACTTTATTCCTCACGCGCGCACACAAAAAGAAAACCATCAAAGAAACGAAACGCTCGACGAGACTGAAGGATGAAGTTCAGCCAGTGCAGCAGAGGAGGGATCCTTTCGCGGCAGACAATAGAGAGCACGCTGTAATACACCTCGAATGCAACCCAGAGGCCCCTCGCGTTGCATCTTAACAGGGCCGGACCTCGTTTTATTTATGGCGCTAATGGAGTCCCGGAGCTGGTGTTAACGGATGGCGGTGTGGGAGGAGAGCTGGAGGCTGTCTGAGAGCACGAGGCCCGGACTCTTGGGATTCTAAACACATCCAGCACTGACAAGGAGCACTCACTGACTCCGTCCCATAGTCTCCTTTCAGAGATGCCCCCACCAGCACCGCCACCCACTCTCCTCCTCTGCTTTCCCTCCCGAGCAGCCAGTTCCCGTCTACGGGCCGTTCACATGTGCCGGCGGCGTGGCTGCAGGTGTGCTGCTGCTGAACATCCTCGTCGAGAAGTTTGATACTCGCAGCGCCGCCATCTCTGTCCTCCCTCCTGTTATTGTGGGATTTTCCCATGTGTACTCTTATAATTGGAGCGGTTTTGGGGCCTTACTTGTATTTCCCACAAAGTCCTTTTTCCTGCCGCTTGGATCCAGTTTGGGAGCTCTGTCAAGAGCGCAGCTTTCTCACTGCCAAGAGGCAACCATTTGTTGCAAGGAAAGCTCCCTTTTCCCTTTGACATTCACTTTATGACTTCAACTTTGGTCTAGAGAGCTCTATTAGCCCGCTCGTCTGTTGTAAATTAAAACGTATGGTGGTAAGTCATGCTCTCATTTCTTTACCTTATTTGAGTACCAGATGTTTGGCTGTTGAGGGGGATACAGGGAGAATGCTTAGACAAATATAGAAAAGTAGCATCCTTCAGCATCCTTATATGGCAGCGTCTGAACGGTCCTGATGCATTACATTATCTCTTCGCTATTTGATCCATTAATGTATGTTGTAACTCTGTCCTAGTCCACATTTACGGCAGCAGCCTCGGACAGATCACCTGGAAAATGGCATCTAATCAGAGGCTTTAAAGTTTGCGCCTGGTATGAGCGAGCATTCTCACCAGACGAAGGTTCTAGGCTCCAAAATAAGTCGTTTAACTCCCCTTTAGTTCCCCGACAGGCTCGTCAATGGACACAATGCATCCGGGGTCGAGAGCAGTGATGGTGTTGTTTGGAGTCGACTCGTTTTTTTTTTTCTGTGCGTTGAAAGCATTTCTTTGTAAAACCGTCGCCGGGCAATCTGAGATAGCAGGAAGACACGGCATTAGGTGACCTTTTCCAGTTGTTCAGCAGCCCGACTAGACTGCTTTGACACCTGGCTGAGATACGATCAGAGCGGGAGACGGACCACCTCCAGATGTGATCCGGCTGATCCAGTTCGGGCTGTGAAGTGTTTTTTTGCGGCCTTTTGAGGCCCGCCGCACGAAAAAAAAAACGGCAGGGGGGTTGGAAGGGGTTTTTTTTTTTGGAAATTGGCCAAAGTTGTTTTTTTTGGGGGGCGGGGGTTTTGGGACCGGGAGGACTCTTTTGTTTTTTTCGGTTCAGTTGATTGTTTTTTTTGTTGTTTATGTGTGACTTCTAGTTCCATCAGTAAAATGAACCGAATCGAAGCCTAATATTGGGATATTTCATCAAACTATGAAGCCGTTGGTAACGCAACTGTTTTAGCAAAACTTCAAACTGTGTTAACACAAAGTATGAAAACAAATTAAAAGTGCAATATACAATGTAAAGCCAACACTTTCTACAGTACTGATTGAATCTGTTGGCGCTTAAAAACGTTCTGTTTATCGTAATTTGTGGCATTACAGCTGTGTCATGGTTCACAGAAGTCCTTTATGAGCTCCCTCTACTTGTAGCCATGCATGTGGTGTTGCAGGACTGAACCCAGAGTGAGTACGAATGTGACCGGAGCGAAAACATCACTTGAATTTGATGTGTTTTTGTTTGTTAATTCATTAAAGTAGTGATTAGGCAGCCCCGGCAAGTCAGCATTCTTGCCGTTATCGTTATGCAGGGATCCGTAATTGGCAGCGTTCTCAAGCAGTAACCATTTAACTGATGTTGTTGATTTAGTGAACAAACATGGGACATCAGCTTTAAAAACAACTCAGGTGCATGTTGCTGAGTTGTCGTCGTGCAGGTCCAGAGCGTCCCTGCTGGTCTCTAGTGGCCCAGTTCTGGTTGGAGGTCATTAAGCGTCACAGAAGTCTTGGTCGTGGGACTGTTGCCAGCTAGAAGTACCTTTTTTGTTGGCATCCATTTATCATTCGTCTTTTCCTGTGAACATTTAAAACAATGAACAACAACGAATCAGTTAGACGTTATTAATGTTAATCCTGATGAAACAGTTTAATTTAAAATGCGCTACTTTGGCTCTGATGCTTCGTCTGTAGTCCGAACGACGTCCCATCCACAAATAAAAAACAATTATAACTCTTCTAATTAAACAGATGAGATAAAAGATAAATAAACAAACGCATTTCTGTAAAATTTTGGGTCAGAATTTGTGTTGTTCTGAATTTCTCCACAAAGATTTTAGCTTTTACTGCAAATTTTTAATCCGTTCCAAACGTCAGTTATTGTTTTTTTTCCTACAACACACTCAGTCGACCCCAAACAGAAGGATTTAGGATAACACCAGGCACTTCACTCATTATTCTTTGTCTCTTCTTTTTGTCTTTTTTTTTTCTCTCAGGTGGCGCAATGGCCCGAAAAGGAAGAGGAAGAACAGCCAATGTTCGGTGAAGAGTATGACTGGTGAGTGTCTGCC